AAAGGATACAACCAATCTGATGACATTTTCTCGTAGAAAAGTAAAAAGAAAAAGAAAAACTATATAAAAAAACACAGAGGTATAGGGAGATATGATAAAAGATACAAACAAGAAAATAAAAGAGTAAAGGGAAAACAAAAAAAAAAAAAAGTGAGATATTTCACCTATATCAGACGGTCACAATTATAAGCCTGTGTTATGCTTTGTAAAAATTATATACTATTAACTAAACTAGTCTCTACTCTAATTTAACTAATTAGTATATTTAAGTGGAAAAACCTAAAGAAAAAAAAAAGCTCTTCGACATCAGCACCATATTCTAGCACTATAAGCTCTCCAGCTTCTTTTGCTTAAACTCCCATAGAAGTGTAAACAAAAATATGCTTCGGGCACTATAGAGAAGTTGGAAATTCGTACAGTTGGTCTCGAAGCATTATTTGTCCAGATTGCTACTTTCGAGGCACATAATCCAGATGTCCACATTCTATTTGAATCCACATATTTGTTGTGACAAGTAAAAAGTAAACAATGCTGATCGAAGGGATAAGCTAAATTGCCCACTTTTTTACAAAATTTTCTCTAAAAAAAAAGTAGAGGGTTAATAAAAATATGTGAAGTTCTTCTTGTAAGTTTTATAGTTGTATAGTCCAGCTTCTCTATTTCTACCACTTAGAAGTGCACATTGGCTACTTCTACAGACTTGTTTTCAGAATAAACCTTCTAGTTTGGATGCCGAATGTCTGCCAGAAAGAAAACTTGACTCCAAAGAAAACCATCCATATTTTTTTGACACATGCTCCTTAGTATTTCATGTCTAGATGCTTAGACTTCGTTGACAACAAGCTGCTTCTATTTATAGGACCAAGTTTTAGTATCTACTTCGTCGCTTTTCTATATGTTTTGCTGTAGTTCGATTTTTGTTATTGTTGACCAGAGGATCGTCAGGAAGAGTTGTGTAATTTAATTTTAGTATGAATTTTACTTAGTTATTTTTAGTTATAAATATTTGATATTTGTATTTTTATATATATAGTTAAAATAGTATTTATTATTATATATTAGTTATTATATTTAGATAGTATATTTTATAGTAATTATATAGGAATA